ATAAATCGAGAGAGAGAAAGAGAAAGAGAGTGAGAAGTCAAAATGCAAACTAAATAAATTACTATAAGTCTATGCAAAAAGCTAAACTCAGAGTCAGAGTTTCCTGGGCCCCTTAGAGATTCTGAGTCAGTGGTTTCTAATGAGACCTGGAGTCTGCCTTTTTACAAGCACCCTGTGTGAATCCAATGTGGGCAGTCCCAGGAGCACTCTTAGAGATATTGTATCCAGAGTGAATGGACATCGTAGGATGTATTTCATGACTTGTGATCAGAAGAAACTTGCTGCTTTTCTTCCAACAGGAAGAGAAAGATTCATGGCATGGCTAGTGTTTTTAGAAACTGCATAAAGAAAGAGGGATAACGGTTTCAAGCTAGGATGAGATAGAGAGAAAAGAAAAAAAGAAAGAGGCTGTTTCTAAGCATAGAAAATAGCCAGGAAGCTGATTCCAGCCAGAGCAGAGAATTAGGAAGATGTTAGAAATGGCATCATCATGAAAAATAGTCAGTGAAAAACAAGAAAATGAAGGAATAGAAAGGAAGTGAAGTGGTCCCCGGAGTCTAGGTGGCATCTTCTATAAAACTAACTCTGAAGCATCCATTCTTTCTCCCTCATTCAACCTGAAAAGCACAACTTACTCTATGTTATTTCAGGAATACTTGGAGAACCAGTACAGCTACTGCCCCATCCCAGAAAGTCAATAGCGCAACCAAGATAGAATTTTGGAGTCAACAGGTATTTGCAGAGTATTTACTACATACAGGAGATGGTATTAGGTGCTGAGTATGCAGAAATAAGCCCTGAGAATTCGTAGTTATATCCTTCCCTCTCATCTTAGACAATCTTGGGCAAATCTTAGCCATCTTGGACAAATAGAGTATAATAATACAATTGACACATTGAGGTGTGCTTCTGCAAACAGTATTTAGATACTTTGGAGTTCTGATGATGTTTGGTGAATATTTCCACGAAAATTTTTTGTGCTTTAACTCTATAGAAAACACAGATTTAACTCAAAGTGTGAACTATTATCTTGATCTAGCATGTCTTGTGGCATATATCAGCATCTCAAAACTTCTCTTCATTGTAAATATATTTCCTTTTAACTAAGTGTGCCACCTGACAAAATGGCTACTCACAAACCAGACAAGAGTCTAAGAAATGTAAGCTGTTAAAAGATGACATCCTGAAAGCAGCTAAACGTCTCCATTCTTGAAGAAGTCTCCAGCCTGGGGAACTAAATGAACATAATTAGAAATACATCTGGGTGTTGGCCTCCTATCTGAAAAGGTCACATGCACATTCCATTGGTACTGGTTATGTTCAATCATTATGTTCTGCCTTCACTCATTCGTTTCCCACTGGTTACCAGATGGCCATGATAATGTTGGTATCCTTAACAACTATCTTGTGCAATTCCCTGCAGCGTGGTAAGGGCTCAAATTATTGAGTGTTTTCCTCTTTGGATAAGAAGTAACCTATCGTGGAATTGCTTATTAATGTCTCGATGGTATAGTTATGAAGAATGATGGCAAACTGGTCAAGGTGGCAGGCTACCAAAAGGCGGTGTTTGCTGTTTTTTCAAGCTTAAGGTGAAAGAAAGTTTCACCCATGCAGAATCTGGTTTGTATAAATAAGCACTTAATATAGTAAGGTGTAAATAAGCATTAAGGTCATTGTGAGAGGGAGCTTCATTAAAGTTGCTGAAATGTTCTCCTGAGTTAAGTTGGTTCTGATAGAACTCTTTCACAAGGTTGCTCGGGGAGTTCTCGCAACGTGGTTCCTTGAAATGTGCCAAGTTACCAGATGGATTTGAGGAACATTAGAAGATAGGGGGTATGGGGTGGAGGGAGGACAGAGAAAAGTAGATGTATCAATCAATTGGGGTAGATCATGCCGCAAAAACTAATAACTCCCAAGGCACGGTCTCACTTAAAACAAGAAAAGTTTCTCTCTTACTTTGGTTGTATGTCCATTCAGGGTCAACCAGGGACTCTGTTCCATCGCATTCTCACTCTAAGACCCAGACTGTCAGAGTTGCCACTACCTGAAACAGTACAGATGTCCAGAGTAAGTGGAAAGAGAGAGTATGGTCAGTCAAACACCGCCTCTTAAAGTAGCCACTCACCTCAGTCATATTTCATTGACCAAAACAAGTCACACAGCCACTTGACTCCAAAGGGCCAGGAAGACCTGGTCTTTCCACAGGACCATAAAGTGAACCAGAAATATTTGCAGCACTAACAACCACTAGAGCAGATGCTGATGCTCTTTAGACTCTAGGGCATCTCCTAGGGGAGAGACGAACTTTTCAGTGCTGTCAGGCACTGGAAGATTATTTAATTCCTGAAAAAGGGCTATACCAGACTAGAAATGAGCATAAAGAAACTCAAAAAAATTCTGATTTTTTCCAAGATGATGACTTTAATGCTTAAAATACGTATTAAATTCTTTCGAAACAGCATTCGATTCTGCTGCTTGCTGGTGACCCACACATTGCTTAATCTGTCTATAAGGTCATCCTTCTCTTTCTTTCCTCCACTTTTTCTTTTCTCTACACGTAGCCTGAGGCTTTTTGTGAATCTGCACTGGTGATTGGGGCTGAGAGGATTGCATTAGCCCAACTGTGATGGAGATGAACTGGTATAAGAGTTTTGTTGAAGACGATGTTTTTAGTATGAAACCAAAAGGGATTGTTGAAACTCTGCCATGGCCATGGCAATTCTTTATTGGAGGGAAGAAAGTAATGGAAGTGTTTTCTTGTTTGTCTAGGAGAGGACGAGGAAGAAACGAACGTGATAGTTCTCAGCTACCCTCAATACTGCCGGTACCGCTCAATGCTGAAACGCATCCAGGATAAGCCGTCTTCCATTCTAACGGACCAGTTTGCATTAGCCCTGGGTGGCATTGCAGTAGTCAGCAAGAATCCTCAGATCCTGTACTGTCGGGACACCTTTGACCACCCGACTCTCATAGAAAATGAGAGCATATGTGATGAGTTTGGTGAGTCTTTTTTTTTTTCCTACATGAAACTTGTGTGTGCGTGTCTACTTGTTTTCAGTTCTTGTAAGAGCAGTGATGGGGAACAGGGCTTATTTTCACAAGCCTAATGTGCCACCGCACCCCTCCCAGCCCCCAAATTATTGTGGTGTAAGGTGTCAGTCATTGTCTACTTGGCAGCCTCTGTTTACCAGGGTAAAAGATTATTATTTAGAATTTGTTGTTCAATATAGAGTCTGAAGTTGCTTGGTCAACCATAAAATTGGACTTTAAGACGGGAAGCCTTCATGTTAGTTCTTTTTTAAAAGGCTGCAGCTATTCAGATATTGATTTTTTTAACTAATATATCACTTTTCAATATTATAAGAAAATTTGAAAATGTACCAATTGTAACCATTTCAATACTATAAGGTGAATAGATAGATGATAGATAGATACCCATATCCTGAATTTTTTCATATATAGATCCCTCTATATCTCTATCTATATATCTTTATCTATTCACCTGCGGTGCACAGTATGTAAAGGAATATATATTATTTAATAAATATATATTATTTAATTAAAAAGTGCATATGTTTATACACTGTGCTCACCAAAGATGGATATATGCAAACATATCTTTATCTGCACCTCTGCCTAGCTGATCGACCATGTGTCTCTATAAATAGAAGGGAAGGAGGAGAAGCTATATCATCAGTTTGGGAGACTTTGCATGATGCAGTGAATGACCAGAGGCAAGCCAAGATCACCTCTCACATCTTCATTTTCTCATCTGTTTGTTGAAGAGATTGGGTCATATCTGTGGTTTTCAACAGGCTGGGCAGGGATAGCAGAATACCCTGTGGGTGATTTATCAAAATGCACATGTTCCCTGGAAATTCCTATACTTATAGAGGCATAAACAACTCCCACCCTCGCCTTCCCCCTTTTCTGGGAATTGCCATAGAGTGACCAATATGATGATTGAGCCTTGCTGAATTCCTCATGGGTACCTGGGTGAAGAGGTTGAGATCATGTCCTAAAAGGAGCGCGGGATCCCTTTGGGTGTGAATATTTCCCGATTCTGTTGGCTAACATTTTATCCCTAGTTTGCAGATTACTCAGATTCAGATTATTCTGCTTAACCATCACAGGCCTCAGCGTGGTTTGGAGAGTCCACTGAGTCCTCTCCAATCTAATTATTCATGACTTTAGCAGCCCTGTATCTGCTGTGGGAGGGATATTTTTAAAAGGAGGGGTGAGGATGGGGGGATGAGGTATACTGACCCAAGAAGGAAAGGAGAGAAAGAAGAGAGGAAGGAGACGCAACAGTTCATTGGACATGACTTTTTTTTTTTTACAAACTCTTTTCAGATGCCTTTCAAAATTCTGGCTTGTCAAATGACTGTCAATCTATAACAGGGTAATAGTGTTTATACAAGCTTTTTCCTTCATCCAAGAATAATTTGTCATATTTTTAATACTGAAAAAACCTTTATATTCAAGTAGATAAATGGATGTATCCAATACATCTTTTTTTTTTAAAACCCTGTTTTCAGATCAGCATTTACAAAACTTCCCTTTTCAATACTTAGAGTTTGAGTTTTTCTTCCATATCCCCTACTTGCAAATCCCCCTTTCTGCTTGCTGCTGAAGAGGTCTCTAAATTCTTGACACAAAATAAAACTCAAAGAATGGTTTCTCTCATTTAAGAGTATTCAAAATTAGAGTTTGACAATGTAATATAATGAAAAAATGTTCTAACCTTTTTGGCTAATTTAAGAGTTATTAGTCATTGAGTTTCAAAGCTGTCACATCTAGAATTGGTAATAGAAAGGAGTTCCAATTCAACAGTGATCACAATAGTTAAGAGTTTCTAAATTAGCTTTAAATGTTCTCACAAACACAGGCATCTGATTTTTTAATGTTTTCCTGAACTTTCTTCTGGTATAGCTAATTTTAATACTGTTTTTCTTCTCCGGCCTCTTGAGTGGAAGCTTTCTTTTGGAATAAAGCTATCTTTAAAGAGCTTATAGATGGCTAGTTTAATAATTAGAATATGAGACTCTTTTTTTTTTTTTTTTAGTTATATATGTACTTCAAGTAGTTTGTACTTCTTGTAGTATTGCGTTTTAGTAAGTGAACAAAAAAAAGCTTATTTTGACCTGACTCGAACACCTTCGCTGACATCCCTCCCCCACCTTCCACTTTTGGTCACGCTCTAAATTTCCAGAAAAACCCTTTTAAACCTCCAACTGGTTGTATTCAAAATCAACATGAGTTAAAGGGTTTGTTAAAACGTGGGGTTGGGTTTCTCCAACCAACTAACAGTTGGTGGAAGAACATAAATTTAATTAGTGACTAGCATTAAACAAATGTTCCTAATATTAAACACTGCCAGATGACTGAAACACTTCTGTCAGATTACCGTGAGTGCCAGGGGGCCCACAGATGAATTTCTACACAGTATATATTCTGTACCACACGTTCGGTGACTTCAGTAATTGGTCAAATGTAATTTAGGTAACAGTATGCCTGGGCTGTAAAAATCAAATTTTATTAGCCATATCACCAGGTGGATGAATGGTAGAGCTGATGGCAAAGAGTTTATAGCATTTAGCAGCTACACCTTTGACACATGAAATTCATAAATTGCCATAAAATACCTCCAAGGCCCTTCTCAAAAGGACAGTGTCTACTTTCCTATGATTAAATAATGTTTATTTTATTAACTAATATATTTTTTGCTTTCTTCTATTAAATGGGATTATGGAGTAGGGTTGGGAGGGGGTGCTCAAAAGATAAATAGAACACAGTCCCTGCTTGTTTTGATGATTTAAAATCTAATTGGGGAAGACAGGATTAATACACCTGAAAGGTTAACTAATGTTACAAGAAAGTCTGTGATTAAGTAGTTGGTGAGTGTTGCAGAAAGCAAGTACAGTAGGAATTTTGCGGTGGGTTGGGCCTAGGGAGGTGGAGTGGCCGGAGATGGTGATCATGGGGAGGGATCAGGGCAAGCCTTATGGAAAAAGCAGGACTGTCTGGTTTTAAAGGATAAGGAAAGAGGTTATCAGAAAACATTGAAAAATATCTAGATCATTTAAAATTTATGTCCAGACTTTCCGTGTTAGGAATGGCTGCCTTCCCCTGGGTCAACTGTTGGCCTCTCTTAGGTTTCTTTGCCTTTAGTCATCACCGTCAGTGGGCCTTGCCCTCTAGGTGAGCTTTATAAATGGCCTGATGCCATTTCTACCAGGGGGACACGCATGTGAGTCCCATGGACGAAGGCCGGGATGAACCTAGGCAGTGCCTCTGTTTTTGGAACTGAACGTTCCTTCCTGGGCTGGGAGGCCCCACGTTTTCTCTGTGTGCTGTACAGCTTACTTGCATTCCCCGGATTCATCTCTGAAAATGAGCTTTGCGCTGCGTGACGACCTCGCCTAACTGCCCAGCTACCTCCTCCCTCCCCACTGTTACAATGTTGTCCACTGAATAACAAGTTTAATTGAATAATAAAAGTAAGGCATTGAAATCTACCATGAATCCCTATAAATAAATTCTCCGTAGAATTTTATGAAGCTATTAATGAAAAGTTTGATTAGAAACTATTAAAGAAGAATAGAATAGATGAAATTTCATCATTTAGTCCCATATTACAGTAGTGTCATTCTGATTTTTATTTACATTGTGAAATTCAGAATAGAGTAAATATATCCTGGTTTTAATTAACTATCTTCTTTACTTGGGAAAGGTTATTTTAGGCTTGAAGGGTTTTGATAGCATACCATCTGCTTTCTTCACTGCATTTTATTCAAGTCCTTTCCTTGCTTACAGCAGTGTGCAATGTCTAAACCTATGACATAAGCATAAATTGAATCATATTAATGGTAGGTGATTGAAAAGCTTCAGCCTCGACATCCTGCCCACATTCTTCCATCTTGTCAGTTACAATGCTCTTAGAGGCAATGCGCTCTTCTCTTAGCACAAGAGAACTGGCTATTTTTAAAACTAAAACAACGACTCCCTATTAAAGCATTATGAAAACTGGGTGCATTGCACATGTAGTTAGGAAATGAGATTGTAATAACATGAGGGGAAGTGACATTATAAATGACAATTTTTTCTTATACAAGTCTTTACCCTAGGCATAATTCCTGCCCCCACGGTCCTGTTATAATCTGCTAATATAAGGCATTCTCCAACAGTCCCCCCCCCCGCCACTTTCTTTTACCTCTTTTTATAATTCAGTTCCTCTTTAGTAAAGCACATACTGTCATTTATATTGTGTTATTGCCTGTGTTGTAGAGAAAACACACACACGCAAACATTTTGTCTATTTTTCCTGTAGAACAATAAAATGTCCACCAGTTTGTAATGCACAATGTTTACATTACTATCACACAGATTGATTTCACATGTGCAAAGTGTTGACAGCTAAAGCCAAACAGAGGCACACACAGTACAGTAGGTAAACGGATAACTTTAAGGTACTGGCTTCTATCAGAGAGATGTAAGGTGGACCCAATATGCATAAATGAGATGATGTCAGTCCTTAAAAGTGGATGGAAATAAATAAATTGAGATACGTCTTATTAAAAAAAAAAATAGTAAAGCATGCGGTTTATTTCAGTCTGAGTTTTGAATTATAGAGACATAAGTAGTGCTTCTAAGTTTTTTGGAGTTGTAGGGTGTGTGTTTGTGTGTTTCTTGATTAAGGAATGGGATAGCATTAAAGAAAGGATATGGTAATTCACCTGAAAAGAACAGAGATGAGATGATTTTGGTCCATGTGTGTGGAACATCATAATCTCTGACCTTCAGGGAGAAGAAGTTGGCTACGTAAATATTTCAGAAATAGCCCAGGTTTAATCAAGGCTCAACTGATTTGCTGTGCCTCTAGGTGAGTGACATAAGGTCCCTTACTTGTCCTGTGTTAAAATCAAGCAGTAACAGCCCACTCGGCAGGCTCAGAGTAAGTCTGTATTAACTTGATTAAAAAAAAAAAAAGTCCTCTTGAT